TGAAACCCTGTCTTTAACAAAAAATACAATAAAATTTTAAAATTCATTTAAAAATAATAAACCAATTACATGTTAATTTTTTTTTTTTTTTTTTTGAGGCAGGATCTCACTCTGTTGCCCAAGCTGCAGTGCAGTGGTACAATCTTGGCTCACTGCAACCTCTGCCTCCCAGACTCGAGCGATCCTCCCACCTCAGCCTCCAGAGTAGCTGGGACCATAGGTGTGCACCATCATGCCTGGCTAATTTTTATATGTTTTGTAGAGACAGGGTTTCGCCATGTTGCCCAGGCTGGTAATGTTCAATTATTTTTCAAAACATAAAAAGCTTAGCAAGAAAAGTGGCATTGTCTTACATTTCTTCCAAATGTCTTTAGTATCTGGCTTAATATAAAATGGCTAGAATCTCATATGTATCTGTTTTTGCATTCATTCTGTTGCCATATCACACACCATGTATCTTCTAGAAAACTTCACTGTACATGCATGAGAAAATGAGAGTTAAAAAAGCTTAGAATTATTATGAAAATATTTTTGGCCTTAAGGACTCTCTGAAAGGGTTTCAAAGCAGGATCCCCAGGGGTGCCCACACCATACTTTGGGAACCACTTTGCTAGATAGTTGGATACAGCCCTCAAGGAGTTCAGGGACCAGCAAGAGAGAACATTTATAGGTATATGTAATGCAATGTGTTAAGTGCTCTAATAGAGCAGAATAATATAAATGCTGTGAGGGATCCATCAATTCTGGCTGGAAAGGTCAACAAAGGCTTCAAGGAGAAGCTGACATTTGAATTGGATCTTGAAGGATGAGTAGGTATGTAACAGGAAAGGTGAAGCTTTTCTTGGCTGAGAAACAGCATGAGTAAAGGCCGGAAACAAGGAGTATAGGTAAGTCCGGTGTTCCTAGAATATAACATGCATGAAGACAAGTGACAAGAAGAGGCTGGAAGAGTACAGTGGGAGGACAGGCTGAATAGAGCCTTTATTCTGCAGGCAATGAGGAAACAACTGAAGACTGTGAAGCAGAACCATACAAGAATATTAGCTAATCTTTGTGCTCCTACTCTGTCTAGGCTAGGCATTGAGAAAACCTAGTTTTCTTACCAACGCATTGAAAGAGGAATTACTAGCCTCACTTTACAAGAAACAGGCTTCCGGTAACAAATTTACCTACTTGGATCTCTATTATGAAACTGACCTCTATTATTAATACATTTTTCTGAAGTTCTTAGGATTGAGATTTTCCAGAGGTATGGATAATAATACAGGGTAAACAACAGAAACTGAGGTCCTCTTGGCTTCCTAGAAAGAAGTGGTTGTGACGGGCATGGTGGCTCACACCTGTAATCCTAGCACTTTGGGAGGCTGAGGCAGGTGGATCACGAAGTCAGGAGATCGAGACCATTCTGGCTAACACGGTGAAACCCCGTCTCTACTGAAAATATAAAAGTTAGCCAGGCGTGGTGGCAGGCGCCTATAGTCCTAGCTACTAGGGAGGTCGAGACAGGAGAATAGTTTGATCCCAGGAAGGCAGAGATTGCAGTGAGTGGAGATCACGCCACTGCACTATAGCCTGGGCAACAGAGCGAGACTTGGTCTCAAACAAACCAAAAAAAAAAAAAAAAAAAAGAAAGAAAAAGAAGTGATTGTTCTTGAACAGGCCCAGTAAGGCACGAAGAGCTGCTGGTCTCCTTCTGGCTCCTTAAAGATTTTTCTGCTGTCTCTAGTGCTCATAACTGTCACCCTCCCTCTGTAATTGATACCTGACTTCAGGAGTATCTATTACAAAGTTTTGGCAGAAATAAAGAAATGAACTAAGACCAAACTCACAAGAGAGAATCAAATACAGCAATTAAAATTACCAGACAATTTTTTTTTTTCAAAGGATAGTGGTCCATGTTTCCTTTTTGGGTGTTGTATTCGGTGGTTCTGGTTGCTAAGGAAGTATTCATAAATATGATTTGAATATGTTGCCTGCTTGGAAGCATAAAAGAGAGGAAATAGTTCTGGGAACTGAGCTGCTTCTCTGTGAGTTTAGTTTGCCCCATATCAGACATGTATTTACGCAGCACTGCCCACCTTTTACATAAGATCTCAGGTTGATGGTCTACATAGTACTCAACAATAGAACCCTGAAATACCTGTCAGGCTGGG